ACAGACAAGCCAAACCTCCCAACAAAACGATGGATTGTTTTAGTAGTATTCACAAATGTTAACACACACCATCCCACAATAGCAAAAACAATATTCCAAACCGTAGATACAGTATAAAAACCTTCTGCAATGATATCAGTTCAAAAACAATATATCTCAGCTGATAATGAACAAACTATTGAATAATTGACAGCTGATTTATGTTGGGTAAATTGGGCCAACAGCTGATTCCAGTCTGGCTTATTTAAGGAGGACTTTGAGGAGTGATGTTTTTGGAAACAGAAAAAGACAAACACTGTAATGTCTGGACGAGGAAGAGGAAGAGCAAGGGGCCCAGGGAGAAGACCAGGTCCAGTGAGAGGTGCAGGTGAAGGAGATGCAGGTGCAGAAGGAGCTGCAGGTGCAGGAAGAGGAGCAGTGAGAGGAAGAGTAAGAGGTGCAGGTCCAGTGAGAGATCTAGAAGAAGGTGCAGTGAGAGGTGCAGGAAGAGGAGTTCTTTTCCGCATGGAGGTGGAAGGTTTATGACCATCCGCCACATGACCAGATGTCCCTCCTTGAAGCCATGGATGCTGGCTGCAGGGACATCACAGTTCAAGATTGCCAAGGGTGGATCCGACATGAATTTTGAAACCTGGTGTACTTCGTTTGACTGCATGTACCTTGTGAAGTGAAAACAAATGTTATTCTTTGACAGAATAATTTTGAGTCAGATTTCCAGTGTTTTGGTAAAGTTAGTGTGTGCAGAGAAAGATGTGTTCTGTTTTGAAATTAAGAGTTAGTATATATTTAACAAAATGTGTTTTTGAGAAGAAAATGATCAATTTGGCCAATTGTGTCTTGTAGGTGTGAGTCTGTGTTAAGAGTTTAGAAAAAATTTGTAAATAAAAAAGTATGGGTAAGTGCTTGTTAGCGATTGAAAAAAACTGTAACTGCGTTAAAATATTTTGTTGCATTAATCTCGGCCACATTACAGTTTTTGTCGATTGCTAAACGTCAGCGGGCGCAACTGGAGTCACATGTGCAAAACTCTGACTCCAGTCTGCACAGCAGCAGTTCATGAGGACCAAACTCTAGTTTGTTTTTCATTGCTTGAACAGTTTTCAAAACTCTACACACTGATCACATGACGTATCCACAACCTGCACAACACTGTGGATTTACAGCACTTTGTTCAAATGCAACACACTGCTGTCAGAACTGTGAACCATGCATTCAACACGGAATGTGCCTTTAAAACACTGATGATTCTATTCAGCTGAAAGGCTGAGCAGGTGTCTTGTTTTAGATATATATATATATATATATATATATATATATATATGTAGAGCTGAGAAAGACTCATTTTGTAAGTGGAAGAAGGAAGACGGGTTGGTGGAGGGAGACAAAGAAGACAAAGAGCTGTTACTTCAGATGGAATAAGGGCTTCACTTATGGACCATGTGGTGAACCACGTCTCTCACTGAGAGAGTTGAGGGTGGAACCCGATCTGCAAACATCCACAGTGGCGTCTGTGATGCAACTTCTCCATCATACAAACCGGTGAGAGGAGTTTCTCTCTGCCTGGAGGTGCAAAGTGTTTGGTCTCCACCCAAATGACCAGATGTCTCTTATGGAAGCCGGATGTGAGGACACGAGTCCAGAGGACTGCTAGGGATGGATGAGGCTTCCAGAAGGTTCTTCCCCAGGTTGATGGAGAGAGAACATTAGATGTGATGGTGATGAGAACCTGTGTCCTGATGCTAGAGAGGCAGGATCAGCCCTCACTTATTTGTTCACATTACAGTCTGTACTTTTACTTTCTACCTTTTTTTCTCATTACTGTAATTCCATAAATTACTACAGACTATTGAATCCAACTGCTATTATTCATTTACCTTAAAGAATTGTTATGTTCTAAAAAATGTAATAAATCATGTGAAAGAATGTCACTCTTTTTGTTGAAGAAAATCTTACTTTGTATGACGTCACTGAAGTGGTTCAAAGTGTAAAGATGAACAGTGAGTATTTTGTGTGTTGGTGTTTGTACTCTCAGTGTGTTCTGAGTGACAGTGTGTGTTCTCAGTGTTTGCTGCACTGAGCCTGTTTGTGTTACAGTTTTTTTCGATTGCTAAACGACAGTGAGCACAACTGGAACTACATGTGCAAAACTCTAACTACAGTCTTCACTACCAACAGTCACCTGAGCTAAACAGTTCACATCACCTGCAAACTCACTCCAAGCAACATAACTCTTAACACATGGCTCAAAACAGGCTCAGTGCAGCCAAACACTATGCACAACCCTCACTGAGATAACACACACTGTCACTCAGAACACACTGAGAGTAAAAACACTAGCATCAAACACCAATACAGAAAATACTAAATTTTCATCTTTACAGTTTGAACAATTTCAGTGACTTCATAGAAAGTAATATTTTCTTCAATGAAAAGATTGACATTCTTTCACATGATTTATTTTATTTACATTTTTAGAACATAACAATTCTTTAAGGTAAATGAAAATTAGCAGTTTGCTTCAATAGTCTGTACTGTAATTTACAGAATTACAGTAATGAGAAAAAAAAGGTAGAAACTAAAAGTACATACTTTAATTCTAACAAATAATTGAGGGGCTAATCCTGCCTCTCTCTAGCATCAGGCCACAGGTTTTCGTCAACATCACATCTAATGTTCTCTCTTGCCATGCACCTGGGGAAGAACCTTCTGGAGTGCCTTATCCATCCCTGGCAGTCCTCTGGACTTGTGGCCTCACATCCGGCACGCATGGCTTCCAAAAGAGACATTTGGTCATGTGGGTGGTGATCAAACACTTTCCACCTCCAGGCAGAGAAAAACTCCTCTATTGGGTTGAGGAAGGGTGAATATGCAGGCAGGTACAAAACTATAAATCTGCAATGTGCTGCAAACCAATCTGTGACAGCTGCAGAGTGGTGAAAAGCAACGTTATCGCAAACTATGACAAAAACTTGGGGGTTTCTTACTGGCTCCCCCTGTTCTGCTGGCACTAGCTGAGCATAGAGCTGTTCTAGGAAAGCTATAAGCCTTTCTGTGTTGTATGAGCCAATGAGTGGTGTGTTGAGAAGCAAACCATCATTGGCCATTGCAGCACACATGGTTATATTTCCCCCCCTTTGGCCTGGAACCTCCACAGTGGCCCTTTGACCTATAACATTCCTTCCTCTGCGCCGTGTTTTGGCAAGGTTAAATCCAGCTTCATCGATAAATACAAATGAATGTGGTGTTTCCAGTGCTTCCACCTCCATTACTCTCTGAAAAACAGTAAGTGCACAGTTTACGTAACTGTAGTAATGCTAGTGGTTTTTTTACTGTAAATATTTTTACAGTAATAGCTGTGTATGTAACCTCAGACGTCTTACCTGGACATATTGGTATCTTTGCTCTTTTACCCGTTCACTGTTCCTCTCGAACGGTACAGTGTATAACTGTTTCATTGTAACTTGGTGTTTCTGTAGGACTCGAGCAATAGTTGTTGTGCTGACAGAATTAACATTTTCAAATATATCATTATCAGCCAGCACTCTATCTTGAATCTCCCGCAGTTTTATTGCATTGTTGACAACAACCATGTCAACAATAGCATTTTCCTGCGCATCTGAAAATATTTTTGCTCTTCCTCCTGTTGGGGGCAGCCTTTGGGTCCTGTTGTAAAAATATATTTTACAGTCAAACTTACTGTAATATATATTTGTGTAAATATTCCATAATTGCAATACAAAATAAATTCCTGTAATGTTTTCATTTACTATAAGGATGTAACTCTCACCTGTTTGTATGATGGAAAATTCGCATTACAGATGCCACTGTGGATCTTTGCAGATTGGGTTGCACCCTCAACCCTGCCTCTCTCAATGAGAGACCATGGTTCACGACATGGTCTATAAGTGTAGCCCTTATTTCATCTGAAATAACAGCTCTTTGTCTTCTTTGTCTCCCTCCACAAACCCGCCCTCTCCCTGCCACCCTTCTCCCTCCACGAACCCGTCTTCCTTGTTCCATTTCCAAAATTAGTCTTTCTGAGCTTTACCTGTGTATATATATATATTTTGTGTGTGTTCACTAACAAGTCTAAAACAAGACACCTGCTTAGCCTTTCAGCTGAAATTGCAATCAGCAGTGTTTGAAAGGCACAAGGCTGAAATCTATTCCGTTTTGAATGTGTGGTTCACAGTTTTGACAGCAGTGTGTTAGCATTTGAACAAAGTGCTGTAAATCCACAGTGTTGTGCAGGTTGTGGTTAAAGTCATGGGATAAGTGTGTAGAGTTTTGAAAACTGTGTTCAAGCAATGAAAAATGAACTAGAGTTTGGTCCACATGAGCTGCTGCTGTGCAGACTGTAGTTAGAGTTTTGCACATGTAGTTCCAGTTGTGCTCACTGTCGTTTAGCAATCGAAAAAAACTGTAAGAGTTGTGTTGCTTGCAGTGAGTTGCGCAGGTGATGTGAGCGGTTGAGCTCAGGTGACTGTTGCTGCTGCAGACTGGAGTCAGAGTTTTGCACATGTGACTCTGGTTGTGCCCACTGACGTTAAGCAATCGGAGAAAACTGTAATCGCATAGATTAATGTGTTTATATTAACAGCCCAATATAATAGCAAAATTGTTAAGCTGGACCCAAGAGCAGACACGGAGACGGCAGATTTACTGTATACGATTCTTTAACAGCGAGAATAGAGAGAAAGACCAACTGCATATCAGCTCACAGGAGGTGCTGCAAAAGGGGGTTTCATTATCCCACACATCTGCATTTTTATATTAAACCTAAAAGGGAACTCAGAACCAGTGACCATTGGACAACTGTCTACTGTCACCTGTCAAATCTAAGTGCCAGTGGACACTCATCTCCTGCATGGATGTCTTTTATGCTTGTTTGGCAGGGTCAGACTAAATCAGTTTGACCTGCCATACAGCCATATACAGTAAAGTATATCGTATAGTAGAGTATATCTATGTATGTGTATATATAGTTATGTGCATCCGCTCTGTATGTTTTTAGTGTCCAACAATACAAACATAATATTTTCTTTAGTCCATTTTTTATTTAACACAATTATTCCTCATTTATTTACTGTGTTATTTAGCTCTATACTCGTGCTGTCTTCTTTTATTGTTTCTGCGTGCCAGTAAAGGGTAGATGATGCGTAATATCATATTGTATTTTTCTATACACTAAGTGTGTCGAGCGATAGTAGCTTTGTATGTGCAGTCGCCGGCTCCGACCTCACATCTAGAAATACAACTCGATGACTTTGGGAAACAGTTGCGACTGTTAAAACATAATCAAGACGGTTAAAGATGAGCTTTATTCTGTTACGGCCCTGTTTGAAGTGTGTTCAACGGTGCACCCAAAATCTGCCCTCCAAACATGATCCAAACACAGGTTGTTTTGCACCACCCAAAATCCACCTGTGAATCGAGAATTACCGAACAGCACCACATGTGTGTGGTTTGAAACCGAGAGAATGCTGACGTGAATACATAATTATGGTTCTGTCTTCTTCTTCTTACGCTGACAATATCACACAATAACTTGTTATTAACATATTTTGATAGAATTCTACATTAAAGCTGATCTTATTGAGACATTGAAAATAATTTTCTCCATCTGTGACAAAGATCTTGTAAGCTGAACTGAGCTTCAAAATATCTGATTCATGTGTATTTGTCCAAATTGCATTACTACAAATGCCTCCTGAGCAGCTGAACCTCCACTGCGAGCCGATTGGTGGAGGAGACGTGGTAATGTTCTCCAGCTCGATCTGTTTTAGGGGGAATCCAGCCTCTCGAGGTTCTGCTGAGCTTTCCGAGCACGTTTCGTTCTCTCCTCGAAGAAACTCTGCTGGTGCTGGTTCCTCTGATCCAACCGGACCAACCACTGCTCCCTCAGACTGCAGAGAACAAGGAAGGAGCAGATGTTCGGACATTCGGTACCAGTGACATTATGAAATACAAACTGACTACTTGATCCTTGTGTTTGAAGGTTTACCAGGCATTACTAGTTATTACTTCACAGGCAGGAAAAAGAGCAGAACACAAATGAAAAACGTTTCAGTGTTAATAATCACACAGAAAGGAGGGTTAGGGTTAGAAGAATTTGTTCTGCTCACGAGTCCAGGCACTTATTGGCTCTACACAGCGGTTCGACTCAAATGACTGAGGGATTTTTATCCCACTGCTAATGTTAGTAGATTACATTCGAAATGTAACTGTCAGACACCACTTGGTTTTAATTATACAGTAATTTTTTGATTTTTGTATCTGCATGCTCAATTTTTATTATTCATTTTTACCATTTGCATGTTTTGATTAATACAGTATTGCAGATGTGATTTATTTGTTACCCACCTTAAGTTTTAAACAAGCGATTGTCTAATGGTGCATCTCATTAGGGTCAACAGGTGTGTCCCGCCGCTCTGCCCCGTTTAAAGAGCCTGCTGCGGGGCAGCACGGAGCACGGAGTGGAGGTGGGCAGGCAGACTTTTACAAAACAATTTTGACCAGTCGTTTTAAAGTGCTTTTAGAAAACTGTCCGCCATTTGGCTTTTAGAACATTGGTAAGCGAATTGTTCTCGTGGCGGAAATACCCACGTTCCCTCTGGTGTCCTTTTTTATTAGTCTATTTAAATAGAGGTGCACCTCTTTTACTGGGCTTTTACGGCGTTGCAAAATCTTTTGGTGGAATGAATAGAATTTCTGTTGTCTGCTACGGTGGCGCACACACACCACCTCACCCTTTGCTTACATGAACATGGTTAAACCAGAATTTAAAACAGACAACTTCTAGGCCAGTGCTCGCCGACCCATCGATCGCTTTGACCTAAAACAAATTCATACACATAGTTTATCATTCTCTAACATTTTCTGCAGTGTCTTCTGAAATGTTGTCTTACGGACTGTGACCAACGTCAGAAAGGATTCATGAACTCACCCAAACGTGCGTTCTAGTGCACCTGGATTCGCATACAGAAACGCCCCGACAGCTCCTCTTAAGAGCATGCAACTGAAGAGACGCGTGCACAATCGACGGACCTCCACAACTTCAAAATCACTGCTAAGGCTAGCAGTTAGCAAGCATGGCAGAGGCTACACAAAAGAAGGCTGTTATGGAATATTTCAATAAAAGCTCGGTAGAAGAGAATGATTTGTCTGATAAAATAGAGTCTTGATGAATGATCAAAGTTGCAAAAAGTCAATTTTTTTGCTTGCAAGTAGGAGGTCAAATACACAGGCACGTATCACGGTGCTCTGTGGAAATGACGTCCCCGAGCAGTAACAACGCTGAGTTTTTATACACATGTGAAGGACATTCTCCGTGCCCGTTACGAGAAGCTGCAAAGCAGGTTGAGATAAGAACCCAGGTGAAGCTGAGGGTAGCACACACACAAGATCCTCCTCAGTGGCCGGTGCAAATCATTGTTACTTGACATGAAAGTAAAACGTGGATCCGGAACTTTCGTACAGAATAAGATATGAACCAAGGCCATGAACAGGAGTCCTTTGTTTTGAAGCGTCTATGAGATCGAGTCAACCGTCCTCCCTTCTCAGAGCACAGCTGCAAACTAACATTTGGTATCATGCTGCTCTTTGCACATCAGGGTCGAATACAGGACACTTGAGACACGGCTTTAGCACAAAACAATGTTATAACATATTTTACCATTACAAGGCGAAAACCTACCATTTCCATCCAGAATGGGAGGAGGAATTTATTTTTACCTTGGTGAAAGACAAGTGTGTGTGTGTGTATATGTTGTGCCACCAGTCGCAGGTACTGTTTAAGCAAGGCAATTTGGAACGACACCACTAACACTAACCACCAGAAATTCAAAGATCGCTGTCCACCAGAAAGTTCAACAGCTGGACGGGGAGTTGAAGGCTCAGCAGTCGCTTTTCACAAAACCCACTTCTCAAAATAAGTCTCCAACTGAAGCGTCATTTCGTGTTAGCCACAAGAAGCCTTTTACAGATGGGGAATTATTTCAGGAAGCATTGGCCGTTACCGCAGAGACTGTTTGCAGCGACATCAAAAACAAAGAGGACATACAAGCCGCATTCCGTGCTGGTTGAGTTACTGTCCGAGGACGTAGCTCAACAGGTGTTGCTCTGTGAGCTGTATTTGTTAGAATGGCTTTCCAGGACTACAACAGAGGAGGATTACCTCACACTTCTACATTTAAAACAGAGAGCGAGAGGCGAGGATGTTTACAATGTGTTACGGCCGTGAAAATAACATTCCCATTCATAAACTGGTGGCAATCACTACTGATGGGGTCCCGGCAATGTGCGGTGTGCACGCTGGTTTTATTGCACTGTGCCGTAATCATCCGGATTTCCATGACTTCATGAAGGATCACTGTGCGATTCATCATCACGCCTTGGCTGGGACAGTTGTGGGCTTTTCGCATGTAATGACACTGGTGGTCAAAGTGGTAAACTCGATTTTACACCAAGCCTCCTGCCAGATGGAAGGGGCACAAACAGGTTTTGTCCGGGGTGAGAGGGGTCAAATACCATCTTTTTAGCTCGCTTCAGGGTCCTGGGTGCAAACAAGTGACGGCAGATTGCAGCCGGTCACCCTCTCTGCAGAGTGGAGGACGCGCTGCAGCCTGCCCTTGTCCTTGGCTGTGGCTGCAGCGTACCAGACGGTGATGGAGGAGCAGAGGATGGACTCCATGATGGCCGTGTAGAAGTGGATCATCATCGTCTTTGGCAGGTTGAATTTCTTCAGCTGCCTCAGGAAGAACAACCTCTGCTGAGCCTTCTTGGTGATGGAGCTGATGCTCAGCTCCCACTTGAGGTCCTGGGTGATGATGGAGCCCAGGAAACGGAAGGAATCCACAGTGGTGACGGGGGAGTCACACAGGGTGATGGGGGAGGGTGTGACTGCACTCTTCCTAAAATCTACATGCGGGTTAGCCAGGCCTGGGATCGAACCGACAACCCTGTGATTGGATGACGCCCGTGCTCCCCCACAGTGCAAGAGCAGAGGGGAACGAACGCAGCCTTGGGAGGAACTGCTGCTGATGACGTGTTTGCCCAGCTTCACGTGCTGCTTCCTGTCAGACAGGAAGTCAGTGATCCACTTGCAGGTGAAAATGTTTTTTCTTGTTCAGTTAACGATTTGAAAGCTGGACCAGTGTTGATGTCATTCCATTCCATTACAATTAGGACTAATACAAATCCCTAAGTTGTAAGAAGTCTGGACAGTGTTTTTCTCTCAACCTCAATAGGTAGATCTTTCCTGCCACCAAGGCGGAGGTCGGCGATCTTGGGCTTGAAAAGGTTGGTGACCATGGATCTAGGGTTCTGTCAAGTAACGCCATACCGTACTAAGTATGTTGGAATGTGCATTGTCTCTAATAACCGGTACACGGATTGGCTCATTGTCTGCGTCACTCCTCCACACTGCAGTCACTTTCTGTTCACTAGTTGCAAAAAGCTCCATTGCAGACATAAAAAAACCTCATCTGTCCACAAATCAAAGGGTGATGTTGCAATCATGCATTAATATACAGTCTATGCTTATTACCTGCTAAGTCACCGAGCTACATTTCTACATGATTTTATTACGATCAGGTTCCGTAGCTCGTAGAGCAATTGTGGCTACATGCTCACTATAACGATGCAGTCATTTAGCATGATACTTCCTGCATTACTATTTAACATTTGGTTCATCATCCTAGTTTAGATGTATATGGAAAAACACGCTGTATACACTGCGAGGCGTAATACGGCGTGTGTCATGTAGCGCTTCACGTAGGCTGAATCACGCAATACGGGGGCCGAGATGAGTGGGGGTTTTGTGAGCACAGTATTTACCCTGAGACCTTATCTCCGGGGCTTTAATTAATCGTGCAGACATGTAGTGAAAGTTGATCTGCAGTCATTGCTGTCAGGTCTAATTGTGTTACAGACAAGTAGGAGCTGTGTGTGTGTGTGACAGGATTCGGATTGTTGTGTCTGTGTTGTTGAGCGTTCGTCCGTCAGCGCGCTCCAGCGCGTGTCGGTTAATCTGCAGATATTCTCACTGATCTCCCGGATTCAGATGTAGGGCCACGCGGCCTCCTAATCAACATTCTCAGGCTACTATGTGATGACGGACGGATGAGCTGCAAACACAACCGAGGCATTTATCCAAAACTAATCAAGTTATGAGAGACGGGGACAAACGCTGAGGCTTTAATGCTCTTTTGCTTTTCACGTCTCAACCAGCTTCACAAACTGTTTTCCCAGACTTTCTCACACACAACCTATTTGAATCTAAAGATGCAGAGGACGTCTTCTGAAATGACGCATGTGTGGAATATTGCCACCTGATCAAGCGGTTCGGTCCCAGCGGTTTGAATAGTTCCCTGTGTGTTAACCTCACATGGCATCAATGCAGAGCTGGAACAACATGACACGGAATATCTACGTGATGCTGTCAGAGCGGAGAAACGCGAGCTGCTCGTAGCGCTGTAACCCCCTGAACATAACAAAAGGTTCATCGGTACCAAATCGTCAGATCCCTCTCATCGTTTGACGTGAGGCGCCAAGTAGCTGGAGAGTATTGTTTAGCTTCACGGTGAACAGCCAGCGGGGAGACGTACAGAGATGGACAGGTTCGGCCCAATCAGCATTCAGCGAGGACTTCTTCGAGACATCTTTTCCTAATCGTAGTTCAACTGGAAGATGAAATATTCCGACACCACAGCTACCTATTCCGGCTACAGGCTGGTGTTAGTTACTACCGGCGACGCCAGAAGAATAACTTAAGTGCTTTAGTTGCAGTGACAACTGTGATGTTCGTATATATATATATATATATTCTCGGTGCTCACATTCAAACTTTCATTATTTGCTCGTGTTGTGGCATTTGACTTTTGCCATATTGTGCGAACAAAAATGATGAAAAGTTAAGTTTTGGTTGTTGGTCCCTGAACCCAAGGTGGTGCCCCAATATTATTATTATTTGTGAATATTCGTTTATTCTTCGTACTTATACGCATGTGTATTTTCACTGAGAAGGTATCTGTGATTTTAATGACACTTGAGCTGAGCGCTTGTAAACTGCATTTAAAATGACGTGTCTGAAACGGAGCGTGACCTCCAGCTAGTGACTTTGCCGCTGACCTTGGCAGCGCGCTGCTCCTCCTGCGGTCCTCCTCCCCGTCCACCTGCTCGCCATGCTGAACGATCTTCTGCTCCCAAAATGACATCAGCTTCTGCTTGTCGTGAATCCGAGCCGCGTTCATCACCTGCAAACGGGGAGATCTAAATGCTGTGACACAGACGGAAGCCTCCTCTGCAGGAAAAGGATGAATAATCCACGAGAGTTTTCTGAGTCGCTCGCTATACTTACTGCTGTTTGGGCCTTTATACTCCTTTCCCCTTTTAACTTTGCTCTAATTATGTCTCTCAGTCTTCTCCTTCAGTTATCACTGCTCTCTTCTCCACTTTCTGTCTCTTTTCTCTCTCCTTTTGTGCTCTTTTATTTTCCCCTTCACCTCCTCTCCTAACTCCGCCCCTTTTCCCCACCTTTCTGTCTTGTTATCTTTTCTCCTCCCCCCCTTCTTTAACCTCCCTGCCATCTGTTGTTCTATATTAATATTAATCATATTTCCTCCTTTTCTCTCATGTCCTCCTTCTCACCAGTGTCATCGTCTCAAACAATCCTCCTCATGAGGATTGTTTGTCACATTATTCCATTTTTCCATTTTTGTGAGGATTAGTTTACTCGCTAGGTGGAAGCAATACGGGGACCGATTTTTTATTTTCTAAAGCCCAAATTTGCAAATTACAAATTATCCACTGAGGGCTTTACAGTCTGTGCACATGAGACATCATCTGTCCTAAAACCTTCACATTCCTGTAACAGAAATGATTGAAATAATAACAACAGAAAGAACATGATGTCGTCTCTGGCATGACATCCGGTTATGTCATCTTGTTATCACATTTACGACAGAGAGCCGGGGTTAAAGGTTGAGGCGTTTGACAGATGTGTGGTTGAGTGGCTTGTTGGACCTGGTGTTTTTTGAGCTTAACCCAAAGTCTAAACTCAGGATATTCTATATTGAACTTCATTTTTTAAGAAAAGGGTCTGACATACTGGATCTACTACTTAACCAGCTCGCTGGCTCCTTTCTAATGATCAAATGATTGTGTTTTTATTCTGCACCAGGAGTTTTTTGTGTAATGAACACTTCTTCAGGTTTAAGTAAGGCTATTTAGATGTTTCTGTCATCTGTCCTCACAGTAGTATTATTAAACACACACACACACGCGGTACTGTACATAAAGACAGGTGTCACCTGGCTTAGTCAAATGGCACCAGGATCTTAACTACAGCTTAGTCCTCTTTACACTCACTGTTACAGCAAAGCCGCTTTACCCACCGCGTGCACCCGTTCACCGAGGAGTCCACCCCAATCAGCTCGGTACTGAACATTCATCAAATACGTTCATTAAACAATGATTCATTCATTATTTATTAATGAATTAAATAATTAGTCTAGATATAGTTATTTAAGTTCAAAACACCAGATTTGGGCCAGTGACTAAGAAAAACAAGGCAAAGGGAGCGTAGCTGTTTTTATTATGTTAATAAAAAGTGCTAAATGTAATATTTAGAGCCATGATGAAGTAGGAAAGATTTAAATGTACAGTGGAGTGATGGCAGCCAGAGCAGAGAATGAACTCTCTCTCTGTGTTAGCCTCTCGCGCTGTTAGCCTCGTTAGCTTTGTGTAGCTCAGATCAGCTGGGGTCTCTTCTGTTCAACATCTACATGGATGTGGGAAGAAACAAGTATGCTGTCATAATTATGCAGACGACACACACATTTATATCGCCACACAAACGTTGGTTGAATGCATTACACAAATAAACAACTCGATGTGCCCAAATTTTCTTAAAATAAACAAAGATAAAACAGAAGTCAATATATTGGGCGCCAACGGCGAACAACGGAGATGGAATATATGATTTTATTCCATGTGTCCATCCAGGCTGAATAATAATTATTAAAAACATATAATTTCTACAATCTAACTAATGTCAAGTGTATTTCCCCAAGTACCAGCCACCGACTGGTTGATACGTGTGATGCGTTGAGTGGGCCGGTCTGACAGTAACAGTAACCGCGCTCCACCCCAACAATTCTCATCAGTCCTTCATTTGTTCCAGTTCCCTGTTTTGGGTTCGGTCCGTTGTATCACCTGGTGAGAGAGTTAGCAGTTACAGTCAGCAATGAGATACGGTCGTTCATTACGGTCACTGAGTGAACTGACCTGGAATATCTGAGTGTCAGCCAAGATTACAGCTGGTATCCATCCATCCATTTTCAACCGCTTATCCGGGGTCGGGTCGCGGGGGCAACAGCTCCAGCAGGGGACCCCAAACTTCCCTTTGCCGGGCCACATCTACCAGCTCTGACTGGGGGATCCCAAGGCGTTCTCAGGCCCGTGCAGAGATATAACTTCCCCGGGGCCGCTTCCCAGCTGGCCGTGCCTGGGACACCTCCCTAGGGAGGCGCCCAGGGGGCGTCCTCACCAGATGCCCAAACCACCTCAACTGGCTCTTTTTGACGCAAAGGAGCAGCGGCTCTACTCCGAGCTCCTCGCGAATGGCTGAGCTTCTCCCCCTATCCCTAACGGAGACGCCAGCCACTCTCCTGAGGAAACCCATTTCGGCCGCTTGTACCTGTGACCTAGTTCTTTGGGTCATGACCCATCCTTCATGACCATAGGTGAGGGTAGGAACGAAGATTGACCGGTAGATCGTGAGCTTTGCCTTCCGGCTCAGCTCTCTTTTCTCTTTCTCCACCCAAACTCACACTCCATCTTCCCCTCACTACTTGAACTCCTTCACTTGGGGGTAAGGACACATTCCCTACCTGGAGTAGGCAATCCATCGATTTCCTGCTGAGAACCATGGCCTCAGATTTAGAGGTGCTAATCCTCATCCCGACCGCTTCACACTCGACTGCGAAACGCTCCAGTGAGGTAGAATTCTTTAAATGCTGAGAAAAGGTTCTTCAATGCTTACGTGCTGATCTCTTGTACCGGATACACTGGGCCATGAATGAATGGCCCAACAGGACATTTGTGATGGCACAACGCCTAATCTTAAATATTGATGAACAGTGACAAATATTTCACTCGTTTTGATTTATCTATTTTGAACATTTAACATGCGTTAAAACAAAACAAATAACTGCATTGATTAAAAGAATGTCGTACAAATTGTCATTAACATTAAAAAATATTGCATGGTCAAAAAACTCATTCATCATTTAAATAACTCAAACAATAAACTCATTATTTGTCATATAAATCTTTAAACTGGTAGTCTTTATTCCTTCTTTAATTTAAATTGCGATCTTGGTAATGGTTAGTTTTCCCCTGTGGTTTGCACCTCATTACTCCTGATGCTTTTACTCAACCAGGAAGGCACATCAGGGCTGCTCATGCATCCACAGTGGTAAGAAATAACCATTCAAATGTTTATAAGCCTATGTTGAGTTTGTAATGGGCCTGTATGGTCTTTTGTTTTTGTGATAACGGGCAATGGGATATTTTATATTATTATTATCATAAGAAATCCCTGTTTTGTGTTGCCTATATAGTGTTTCAGAGACTCTATACCTGTGCAAGGTGGTTACGCCCAAACTGACCCATGAGTGGTTCCGCCATGCGTGCTTCTTAATGGTGTATTTGTCTGAAGATCGTCATGGACCCAAAGGGAATTTCTGAAATGCATATTAACCTCCACCGCTTCCCTCCAGCAAAACTGCAGCACTGAACACCAGACAAATATAAATATAATCTCTAGGAGACACCGTCCCTCGTTTGCTCGGCCTCATTGACACCACAGCTGCTGGAGATAAGCTGACTGTTAATGTCACCGTGGTGACACACGCCAAGTGTGATCCCGGAGCCACTTATACACCCTAATAGCATTATCATGTATTGTCGTAACAATGATGTGATTCACACACGGCCGTGTTCCTTCACACCGTGTGGAAGAACAGCTCATTAATATTTGTTCAAATTCTTTACCGTTAAATTAGGATTTAGCATCACAGCTGTAATTTGGTGACTCATTTGAATTCCCAGTGGAACCCGTTCACAGCGAGGCCTTGAGAGGTGTGGAGCACAAACAGATGATTATCCGCTGGGGGGGCGTGCGCAACCAGACAATCAAATGTAATTTGTAATAGAAAAATAGATTCAAGCGGAAGTCTGAGTATGACAGTATTTATTTTGACTAAATAAAATCTAAAAGCAACCATTTGCTATCATATCGGGAAGGAAGAGGTTTAAAAACACGCCTCTTTTTCAAGTTGATTGGCTGCTTCGGCCATCGGGCCATTTTATTTGAATTTGAAAAATGTCAAAATGTCAAATCCACAACTTAGCTACAAAGTGCACATAAATGTACTTCTTACATTTGTGATAAACACCTGACCAGTTCTTTAAACGCTGAGTGAATATTGTTTAACATTTTTAACCTTATCTTCTGTTTTTCTGTTATTATGTATCATCTGCCATTTGGGACTATAGCACTTTAACTAACTGGCACATTTACAGCATGTTTTATAGATGTGCACTGTCCCCTATCAAATACACTAATTAAATTAAACTTGCGTGACTGGGAATAAAACCAACTGTTCTCGTGGCTGCTGACAAAATCCCTAAACAGCGAGTCAGAAGGAAAGCGAGACGAGACTTTGATACCATGTCACACACCGACTTCTGTCCAAACCGCCGAGCAGCACGACAGAGATTAAAACAGCTGACAGCAGCGTCTGCCGGTGGTTAATAAAACAGAATGTCATGTACCAGTGTTAAGAGTGGCATGTACCAGTGTTAAGAGTGGAATGTACCAGTGTAAAGAGTGGAATGTACCAGTGGAAAGAGTGGAATGTACCAGTGTTAAGAGTGTTAAGAGTGGAATGTACCAGTGTTACGAGTGGCATGTGCCAGTGTTACGAGTGGAATGTACCAGTGTAAAGAGTGGAATGTACCAGTGTAAAGAGTGGAATGTACCAGTGTTAAGAGTGTTAAGAGTGGCATGTACCAGTGTTAAGAGTGTTAAGAGTGGCATGTACCAGTGTTAAGAGTGGAATGTACCAGTGTAAAGAGTGGAATGTACCAGTGTAAAGAGTGGAATGTACCAGTGTTAAGAGTGGCATGTACCACTGTTAAGAGTGTTAAGAGTGGAATGTACCAGTGTTACGAGTGGCATGTGCCAGTGTTACGAGTGGAATGTACCAGTGTTACGAGTGGAATGTACCAGTGTTAAGAGTGGCATGTACCACTGTTAAGAGTGTTAAGAGTGGAATGTGCCAGTGGCCCGGTGTTAAGGGTGGAATGTACCGGTGTTAAGAGTGGCATGTACCACTGTTAAGAGTGTTAAGAGTGGCATGTGCCAGTGTTACGAGTGGCATGTACCA